CTTGCGACAATGCCGTTATCAGCGTGCAGGAGGTTCGCTCGACTGCTTAGACTGACGATTCGTGTACATGAGCATGTCGCTGGACCTCCAATTTACTTAGCAGGTTGCAGGTTGTTCGGTGTACGAGCAGCTAGTAAATATGTCGGAAATATATGACATGTGATAGTCATATACCCACAAAAGTGAACGATAATAATTAAGCCATTGATGTGATAAATGATCCAGAACAACATAATTTAATAATGAGACTATGATAATTATTTGAATCATAATGGAACGATCCGCCAGATGGATCAACGAGAAGAGGTGATACGAGGACGAATTGTCGATAAGACAATGAGATTCGAGCATGTCCATATCGCTGATGTACCGGCTCCGATGAATGCGTTGGACTAGAGATTGAGTAGCTCGTCGATTATGGCAGACACTTCGTCCACGTATTGGACGCGTAGGGTTCGAGATGTTCACCTTCTGCTTAGATTTGCAGGGTGCGTTTGGTTCGAAGTCGGGTTTACCAGTTTTAGAGGTGTCGTGATCTCTCTCTGATTTGACCACATGGTCGAAAACTGCGTTGTTTGTTGATTGAGCTAGTTCACTGAGTTTGTATGTCGAAGGAATGGAGTGCTGAAGGTTCTTCATAGACGTAGTTTGCTGCCTTAGGTTATTCGTTAGTGGGCTCACCAATTTCCTTGCCCGAGATATGACTCTAATTTGATCGTTTCTGATTGTTATTGAAATACAGATGTCGTCTATCCTCCTATATAATAATCGACTTAAATCGTGTTGGTGAATAACGGAGCTAAATAAATCAAATACGAGAATGGATTTTTGAATAGGTATATTTTGTACACTCATTGATCCGGACAGACAATCAAAGGGACGAAGCGAAATGACACGCAGTGGAGAAGACTTGTGAGCCAACTCGATTTAATCAAGCGTTAATCATTATTTATAGCCAGATAAAAATAAGCTACAGATATGTGATGAGTAAGATAGGAAATGAACACACGCTCATCTAAAACAGAATAAATAAACCAATAAGTGAAAAGATCAAAATGTGGTTTAAGATGAATGAATAGATTGGCTTGTCCGAAAGCCAGAATAAACTATGTGGGTCTAAAATAGCACATGACGTTACACCGTTCCCCACTTAGTAAACTGAATCCGTCTGGGGGAAGGTGCACGTTAAAGGGACCATGCTCTGATTATTTTACTATAATAACTGAAGTTAGTATATTTCCGTTTTTAGATTCATGTTTACAAATATTGAGTGGGTAAACATTTGGTAATTTAACATACGTCTATATGCCGCAAATATCAAAGTTTGTTGTGCGTTACATGGATAAAGTGGGCTGTTGATAGATATATTAATTTAGGACGACACAGCCTAAGAAGTATACTCACCTCCCCTCATACTTTGAAAGTAGGAAGTCCACCATTAACCTTTTAGGCTCCAAAGTCAAAAATAACTCAACCAGTAACAAAGTATGTCTAATTTTATACTACATTTTATGCATATGAAATATACAGTTTTATTAGTTTAATATCTACCATCATTCCATAAACAAGACCACCCACCCTCAACAACCTGAAAGAAACCTAGACACACACCATAATAATAAAACACTAAAACCTGCTGCCTCCTTATAAACATTCCCCTAAAACAAAATAAAAATTGTGAACAAACACCGAATAAACATAGTAAATAAAAAAATAATAATAAAACATAACCCTGACACTAAAAACAACGAAACAGATATAACAAACTTAACTGCCACAAATAAAACCTCAGTGGGCTTGTAGCGTGGGGTCGAGTCGTGATTGACTATGAACACCGCTACCAAGAAACACGTGCCAAGTTAATCAGAAGGCGAAGGTTGGACGTAACCAAATAAATCCATAAAATCCCCGAGAAGCCAAATATCAGAAGACAGTTAATGGACCAAATCGAGATATATATTTGCTGGCGATCTCGTGGTATCGAAAGGATACCGAGATCGTGCCAGGATACAAGCTTGGTTACAGAACGTAACCGAATTCGCGCGAAGTTACAATCAAAGTGTAAGTAAAAGAATGGAAGCACAAAAATAACGGAGATGGTCGAGGGCTTGGGCTCAGGAAACAGAAAGAAAAAAAAAGAGAAGAGTGTAGCATGCGTGTAGCATAGGAATAGTCCTACACCGTATCGTTTGTTAACTGTGCGGCTAGTCGCGGAAGCGTACGGGTAACCGTACTCGGCGACCGGAACGTGAGACGGCAGTCTCGTTCGCGTCGCGTGAGCCTGCAATCCCATCCGAAGTCAAGGGCGGCGTGGTCTGCTGATCTGGACGTGAGACTGTCGTCTCGTCCGTAGACGGTGCAGATGACGCGTGCTGTTGACTGGGACGTGAGAATGAGGTCTCAGATGTATCTAGCGTGGGACCTGAAGATGGTTTGAGGATCCCGCTAGTAGGTTTAATAGGTCTAGCATTGAATCTCAGGATGTCATATAGGGCACTGTCATCGACGTGTGCTGGTTTGAGACGATCAATGCTGACGATCTCGACGCGGCCGTGTCGATCAACCTTGAAGGTCTTTTCGTGACGAGCGATCACGTGAAAAGAGCCTTCGTAAGGTTGTTGCTAAGGTTTGCGTACCGAATCTACTCGTACAAAAACATGTGAACAGGTAGATAACTCTCGAGGGAGAGCGACCTGTCGATGTTGTATTCGAGTTGACACCGGAGACAGCGTTCGCATAAATGCAGACAGTCGATGGACGTAGTCTGATTTACCGAAATCAGGTCTGCTCCGTGGTGTGAAGAATTCTCCGGGCAGACGCAATGTTGTGCCGTATACCAGTTCAGCGGCGGAACATTGCATATCTGCCTTCAAGCTCGTTCGAATACCTAAGAGGACGAGCGATAAGGTTTCGTACCAGTTGTCGTTCTCGTGTGCTCGTAGAGCACTTTTAAGTTGGTAGTGAAACCGTTCAACTTAACCATTTGATGCTGGGAGGTAGACGTTAATGCGTATGCGGATGCATTCCGTACCAAGCAGCCGGGTCAGCGAGGAGAATAGTTAATAGGGGAAAATTTCTCGAATAAAGCGTGGAATTCATCGTCACGCGAATAAAAAGTAACAAGGATTCGGTATACATAAATGGGAGTCTATTATATTAATACTATTCTTATCGTTATCCGTCATGTCGAGTATATCATATATTAAAAAATATGAAAATATACGACAGACGTGGATAGATAAATCATAGACTCACCGAATTGGCTTCTTTGGAAGATTTGACCAGAGGTTGAGGCGTGTTCCAGAACTTGGGCCACCAATTGTAGCGTGGGGTCGAGTCGTGATTGACTATGAACACCGCTACCAAGAAACACGTGCCAAGTTAATCAGAAGGCGAAGGTTGGACGTAACCAAATAAATCCATAAAATCCCCGAGAAGCCAAATATCAGAAGACAGTTAATGGACCAAATCGAGATATATATTTGCTGGCGATCTCGTGGTATCGAAAGGATACCGAGATCGTGCCAGGATACAAGCTTGGTTACAGAACGTAACCGAATTCGCGCGAAGTTACAATCAAAGTGTAAGTAAAAGAATGGAAGCACAAAATAGCTGTCATTAGCATAGTCAGACAAAAGCACATTAAAATAAACACTGGTGCGGTTGGTTATAATAATAATTGTTTTTATTAAGCCAGACGTGTTCTCGTGATAAATGTGAGTCACTACAGGCTCTCAATACATCCAAGTAACCTACTGATATAACAAGTCAACTCCACTCACCATTTCTATCAAAGCCTTTAATCGAGTCAATATGCTAGCATCCCACTTAAAACGCACTTCAAAATAGTGGTCTATACAACTCGACCCACCATAAAATGATGAAAATAACTTCGTGCACGTGAATAACTATACCTAAATAATACTCACAATTACCATAACCCTCTTATATTCTACCCCACACATATGAATTTCACATTCATTATATATATCCATTTCTGGCAACTAAAACAATTTTTAAGTCCAAACATTTGGATAGCCTTCCTCTACATCTTATCACTCCGCCCAATCTAATACTTTAACCACCATATATGACTTTATTTTCAACAATTTTATAACCTAAAAATAACATCAAGTGATATGAACTATAACCATATTTACCCTAATTAAACGCCTAATTTTAAAAACACACATCAATTTCCACAATTTTGTAATGGGGGACGCTTACAACTTAACAACCGTACTCTCCACCTGCTTGAATACTGATTAACAGCTTACTTAACCCTTACTGAATATGCCATCAAAAAAACCTAAAATACATAAACCTTACAATAAAGGTAAACCTTTGAACAAACTCATAAAACAAGCCTATAATCTAAAACCAGTAGCTAAATGGATAACGTGATAGAGTTTAAAGCGAACGGTACTGTGTTCGGGTCCCGGAGTGAACATCAACTCTGGGATGCATGTGCATCCAGCTGACGAGTCTCAAATAGGACAAAATGTGCGTCCTGGATTCCACTGCTAGACATCATCCATGTTTGCTTATAATGTTTGTAACTTAAGGCAATCCGCACAGGATGCACATATGCTAATAAGAGACTGATCAATTGTATTCCTTAACATCGATGGGATGATTCAACACAAACAATACGAAACAAATCCAACCAATTTAAGTTTTCCGTATCAATAACCGAAAAAAGTATAAATCATTAAATGTAGGTATTTCTTAATCTTTTTACTGTTTGTCTAACTGATCAGATGATGTATATAACCATTATCTTTTTTTATTTATTAGCTTCAATTTTTTTTTCTCCTATTAATTGTCGATAGTTTCATAACTAATTCGTATTTTTGTGCAATATATTTTAAATATTTCAATTAAAAGCAAAGTAATTTAATGTTTTACATGTGCTACAATATTATAATTTATAATGTTTCATTACATGAATATCATATATGTTTTGATCTTTATTACTTATATATGTATTTATCTGTTAGCATTTGTCAACGATGTATACGTAAAATGGATCATCATTGTCCATGGGTAAATAATTGTGTCGGTGAAGGTAATCAAAAATACTTTGTTTTATTCGCTGTAAGTAATGATACTGATTGTTTGTATTTCTTTAATGATTAAAAATTAATTGTTCAATTAAGTACTATGATTATTCTATGATCTTATATTTTTATTGAGAATTAATTATAAGTTGCACAAAATATTTCTGATCAACACTTTTTTTCCTAACTTGGTTCTTTGCTACATAATACGGTTATTAACCCTATTCCCGATAATCCTTATTTATTTGGCCTTGAAACAGGTAGTAACCTTAGAAGGGCTCGAGGCAGAGTTTAGGTAGAATATACACAATGTTTCTTCCTCAAAATTCTACTCATTATTTTTTTCTCATAAAAAAACGGACTTAAACATTCTCTCTAAAACATATTAATGTGAATTTAAAAACTCTTTTAACTAATAATTATCACTGAATTATATTATCCGATACTACTCTCCTAGTATGTCATTGAACCATTGTGTTAGATTATATTATAACTGGATGAATATTAGAAAAGTTGGACTTTTGGAATTGTCCTAAATGAAGTTATTGTTTCTTTATTTTTGTTTTTTAATGACTGAATGCTAAAATTATTTTATTATTGTATTCTCCTGCTTGTAGACTTTGTCGTATTGTATAAATTGTTATTGTTGTATTTTGTATCATTTTTAAAGTCACTGTTAATTTATCACCAACCTATTACTCAGTTCTCTTCCAATTATAACGTAACGATGTCTTCATTGTAATTTCTAATCATGTTGATATGTAGTCAGGATTTTATTTTTAAATTGTTATGAGTTCGCGTCATAATTGAATTAAGCACAATAAGGAGTTGATCTGTTTCTACCTTCGTCTTCTGTTTGACCATTGAGTCAAACGTACCTCAAGGACCGATAAGTGTCAATATCGTGCTTGTCGTTCATTGGTCAATATGTTAATTGGTAGATGGAAGGTCACCGGTTCTATTGGCAAGAGAGATGTTATACACCCGCCTTCCTGTCATTACGAGCCGACTACATAAGAACCAAGTAAACAACCTGCTGTTTTACTTCCGATATAACTAATTCATTACATGAAAATATCTAAAAATTGTGCGTGAAACTTCAAGAATCAGAATGACAAATATAATCACTAATCATAATACTGTAGTGGATATCGGGTTATACTTTTTCTGACTGATATTGTTCGACGTAAAATCAATTTTAAATGTTAATTATTCTGGTATATATATATATATATATATATATATATATATATATATATATATATATATATAATGTATAACTTCTCAATGATATCCCAAAGTTGTTAAGTGATCCAATGTATCTAACATTTTGAACATTTCCACAGTTGAATTCGCGAGTCTATATAAGCTAGACCACCATTGAGAACCTGGAAGCACTGGACGGCCGTTTTGTTCTACTACTGTATTACTCAGAAGTGCACATCCACGATCTCTCATGTAGGACTCGAACCTAGGACCTTCAGTCTCGCGTGTGAACACTTAGCGTTTAGACCACTAAATCGGCATCTAACGATGTTAATGTCTAACTTCAACCACTCCATGATCTTTCGTAACCCTTTAAATTGACTCGTGAATTTAACTGTGAAAATATACCAATCTCTGCATGTCCCCATACTTCAAATATTGTTAAAGAATTTTATCTATTTGTTACGATAAATATAAAAGTAATTAAATTCTCAATTCTCCTTTTTGTTTCCTGAATGACCTCATATCTTATTTAATTAAATGATAATAACAAAATAAGATAGTCATTAATTAATTAATTATCAGTTGTCATTCAGTTCTTTTCTGTTTTCTTACTTTTCAGTTTTATATTTGTCTAATGTCATTTACTGCTATTGGAATGTGTATTTATTTCCTTTTGCAATGTTTGGGTTCCGATTGGGAGGGTAAGTTGTAGTAGTAGTAGTAGTAGTAGCAGCAGTAGTGGTAATAATAACAACTTCACATATCAGGTTACTTTACCTTGTAATATTTTCATTTCTGTATTTTTGGTTTTTTGATGAGACTATAATTTATGGACGACCTTTGAGCGACGCTAAAAAACTTTAACAGTGTCCACCTACATACTACAGTTGAATGAGATTTATAAACCAGTGTAAAGAATTAGGATTATGATTTATTATTATTATTATTAGCTTTATTCAATATTATATTTTTGGTACAATATAGAATTCCCAGCGTAAAGTATTTCAACAAGTTTCCGTTTCTTTCTTCTTGGTCGGTCCTGGAGATAAATATTGAGTGATCGCCAGTTAGATGTTAGCAGTTCAGTAAATGAAAATCTGAATAATGTGCATTCTTTTCGCTGTATATTGCCAGCAACCACATTGTCTCTTATTGAGTTTTTTGTAACTTTGACAACGAAAGGTTGTACACTTTTCAGAAACGCAGCAGAATAGGTTAGGATCGAATTTAGCTCAACCAGAACTGAACTAATAACAATAATCAATATGGGGATTTGTGGAGATTGTAAAATTTTCTCAGTTGAATTCACGAATCAATCTAATGTAGAGCACCATTGAAAACCTGGAAGCACTGGACGGCCGTTCTGTCCTAATGTGGAACTCAGCAGCAATGTCGGTTAAGTGGTCTAGAAGTTAAGCGTTCGCGCACGAGACCGAAGGTCTTTAGTTTAAGTCCCACATGAGTAATCATGGATGCACATACTAGAACAAAACGACTGTTAAGTGCTTCGAGGTTTTCACTGATGGTCTAGCTTAGATTGACTTGTGAATTCAACTGTGAAAATAACTAACAGTAATAATAGTAAAATTTAGGATAAAATAGACTTCACCTATCAAAACAGTATATTTAAACATTCACGTTCAAAATCAAAATCATCTATTGTTATTTCTGCAGTAAATATGACTACAGAACACAAGAGAATATTTAGTTTATAACATTTTACAAAACAATCAATTTCATAGACTATACATATATTTATAAATAACAGTTTAATTTTCACAATTACTGACTGAGGTAATTTAATTTTGGTTTAATCGCAATCTTGACATTTAGAAGATACATTTACAGATTAATGAATTGCTTTTTCCGTTTATCGTTTATTCATTGTCCAAACTATGAAATATTAAAACAATGAGTGAATTTTTCTATCGATCTCATTTAAACCTTTTGATAAACTAGTTTGAAAATTGTATAGAAAATACCAATGAAACAATTAATGAAGTAATAAATAGTTGATTTAAACCTTGTTGATAATTACAGATAATATTGTCCGAGTATGTGAGATAATCGTCAGTCAGTCAGCTACAACGTAGGACCAGGTATATATATGCATCAGTCCAAGTCGCCACACATCATTAACACAACAAGATGAACACCGAATTCATAGTAGTTACTTCACTGGTAGTAATGTATAAAAGAGAGATTATGTATAAGGATATAGTGCAGGAAGAAAGAATTAGTTGGTAGACAGAAAGGTATAAAGTAATTTTAACTTCACGGTTTAAGTGAAGACAAAACGTGCATACACCTACGCGATTGTGATCGATTCTGAACCATGTCACCCAGAGTCTCCAACGATTGGTTAAGCTAGTCACTTAGTCTGCATTTACCAACATGTCTCACACTAGAGGTTAGTGACTTCAATGACTGATGCCACATTTTGGTCTGGCCACCCCTAACTTTCTTCCAACCGTCTCCGACATCGTCAGCATTGCGCGTCGTGGTAATCGGTGTTCGGGCATACGCAACATGTGGCCCAACCATCTCAGTCGATGAAGATTCATAACTTTGTCAACTGACTTACCATCATTCCGTAATACCCTGCGTCTAACTTCACTATTACTTACCTGGTGGTCGCAGCAGATGTGAGCAATATTTCTAAGGCATCTGTGGTCGAATGTTGGCAGCTTACGAGTATCTTCTACTCTCAATGGCCACGTTTCGCAGCCGTAGATTACAACAGAAAGCTAAACGTTCAAACATAATCTTTAGTGACATGGTTCAAAATCGGTTTCAGATACATTTATTCTCCATCTCTTTTCTATGTCATTAGTTTCAGTATTATTTCAGACATGTTGCTTTCTTGTATTTTTTTTCTCGGGAAAATATTTTCTACATGAATCAGTTGGACAATAGCGAACAAGGGAATCTAGAACGTGTTTCGTCGTACTCGGGGCTCGTCAATTGAACATACTTGCTACCTACATCAAACAGCTCTCACAAATGAATTAAAATCCTCCGACTGCACAGACCAGTAGCTATCGGGACTCAACATCAGTGAATAATGAGTTTGGGGTCCGAATTCTGGTGTGAATATCAGCATTTTGGTGCAGGTAGAACCAGCCGACGGGTCCCGTATGGGACGAAACGCGCCTCCTAGGTTCCACTATTAGTCATTATCCAACTATGCTTCAAATACTTGTAACTTCTAAATAGTATTGAGACAATCCGTACAGTAGGAACATATGCCAAAAACATATTGATCAAGTGTACCCCCTGACATCAACGGGAGGATTCAAACAGCTAATTCAAATGAGTCAAGGTGCATATTTCCTGTGCTTGATATTTTTTACGATCGTTGATTTTTTAACTTCTTTCTTATTTATTTTCGTAAGTTTATCTTGATGCGCTGATATTTTATGAAAATTGCTTGACGATTTATGACATGAAAGTATCTACCATAGTCCCCAATTTTTCAGTGATGGCTGATATGTTGTTTATCATATGTTGACAATATTTTCATCTAATAATCATTGTTACTGGTAAATCGATTGATGTGAACATTCGTTTTTATTATTATTCAATTTTCTTTCAGTTTGTCAATCAAATCAGAGTGTTAATATACTAGGCAATTTTAGTTCATTAGCGTGCAGTGCATTTGCCCTAGGATTGATATGTGAATCCTTGATGTTCGGTATTTTTACTTTAGTAATGTGCATCAGTCAATTGTGCGCTATTTCAAATGATGAAACAGTAAGTTATATGCACCTACTCTCTTATATTAATAATCATAGTTATAATGAAACTCCCTATTCAATTCAATGTTTTTATCTCTTTGCAAATTTATACTGATAATGTTATGTAGATAAACAATGTTAGCTTCACAGCTAAACTATCCGACTCGGAGAATGCGAATCTACCTCAAGAAGTTTATTTAATAATTAGATGTTTAAGTCACACTTATTATATAAAGTTGCTTAGAGATACTGACCAACTGTTGTTTGTAATGCCTATCACCCACTACATCCAACATATCGCTTTATAAATATTATGCGTATCTTTCAACATCATATATGAAGTATAGCAATCTGCTACTTCTCGTATCAATTAAAGTTAGAAGAGCTTAAATTAACGAAAATTTATACACTTTTACCCCTTAACATTATATGATCTGTTATTTCAAATCATATCATTCGTGTAACGTTGCTACTTTCAAACAATAATTCCGGACGTTCACTAAGTGTGATTTGGGTAGTCTCTTTATATTGACTATTATCTGAATATTCTAGGTTGATTTTCGACTTACAATACATCTAATCGTATCCTAGTAACAATCTTTTAACCTTATGTTTGTTATGTATATCGAACAATCTCTTACTCCAAATAGGTGGAATATCCGATTTGTAAAGAGGTCTACACCAGGTTAACTTTCCGATAAATATTCTGCATTTATATGTAAAAAGAATAACATTAGGTCATGTGTCTTGTGGTGCTTTATTATTCTCACTTTCTTTCGATTCTCTCCTTTTTTATGTAGGTCGACATAAAATGTCCATAGTGTATGCAATATTTTGAAGGGAATTGCAGAAACTTAGCACTAAAATACCGTCTAAATACTCCATCCAACATTCCAATTGTATTCTCTGTTTATAAAAACGCCATTTAATCCAATGTTATTATTTGCTTGAGTAAAAATAAACAGTTGCTAGCGATTTGTAGACGCATCAATCTCGCTTTCACGATATTTATGTGAATATTACACAAAAATTCCTACTACAGAACTTAAGCTTATTTTTGTACTCATAATCTTTCAAACTGCATTGATATCTATCAATCAGTTTTAAGTGATCCCTTGAAACCCAGCACTTATATAATACTTCAATCAATGTTTTCATTTTATCTTGTAAGTACAAACAATCTTCATCTACACTTCTAGTGAAGTGACAACTAACCTTTAGTCTAGATTCATCTGTTATTTAGTTTGTAATTGTCGGTACAAACTATTCACTTTGATTAGTTTTAATCAAGAAAAATGTGTTTGACAAATAAAATTCGTATTGGCAAAAAAGATGTCAATTATGAAAATATTTGATCAGTTAATGAAAACTAACCATAAACTGCGTAATAATTCACTTGTTATTAGATACAATTTACTAGTACAGATTATAAATGTTATGCCCTATAGCCCATCAATTACCACGTAATAAGATCGCCAATCAGAACACTGACTTTGGTTCTGTACCAAATGAATGACGCGTTAACTAGTACGAGCAGCCTAGAGTCAATTATGAGTGCTTATCGCTTCTTCGTGCCTTACCATGTTCATTTGAGTCCAGAACGCAATCCCAGCCTCTACTGTATGGATCATGTATTTCAAACATCATAAAATAGAAAATAACAATAATACAAGATCGAGCCAAAAGTGGCTATGATTGTGAGAGACTGTAACTAATAGATCGGGAATAAGTTAAGAATGGTAAATCGCATTACAATAGCCAATAGGTCAAACGAAATATATATATTAATAACCCTTTTTTTACCCTGGTTATTGTCTCAAGATCTCTTGAATATCGTCCATAAATTATAGTTTCACCTGTATTTTGCTTATAACTAACATTAATATTCCAATTTATGTTTAATGCACCCTTCTAATTATTCCTCTTTTCTTCACTTTTTTTTTTAAAAAAAAGGGAATTGAAAATATTAAAAAAGAACAGTCATCATGGGAGAAACAATCAACCAGGAAAAATTTTATCAAAGCGTTTGGTGCACCATTTTCATGGCGATGGTTTAGTCCATTCTCATCACCTTCATTTGTTCCGACAATATTACCAGGACTTCCAGATGATGTCAATTTAACCAATATGTTATATTTAGCTGAACAAAATGCAACTCGACAAAATACAAGTGAATTTCAGTCAGATTTTAATCAAATTGGATATATTGTTTGAAAGATAATTACTTCTTCTTTCTTTTTTTTCTGTTTTCTATAATCTTATCACAGTTCATTGTGAGAGAAAAAAAAACGAGTTCAGTTTTAATCTTTGTATAATGTAATACTCGCAGAATTACCTCTATGCTAGATTCATATAATCGTAATGTCTCCCTTGGGTATATATCCTAAAATTATCGTAGTGTTACTTGTTTGTTGATAGGGTTATGTAAATACAACTATTGATCTTCATTGAATGATATCATCAAGGCCTATATCATGATTAAGACAAAATATACTGAAAGGTGATCACAAGAATACAGATTTTTTCGGATCATTTTTTTAAACTTTATAGCATAACAAAACGAATAAGATTAATTAATAAGCAATACTGACTTAGACAGATGTAAAAATTGTAAGAATAGTAACCTACCTAAAGAATGTGAAATAGATACATCTGTACTTGTGACTAAAGCACATTGTTTACACGCGACTTAAAGTCTCCATCTAAATTAAATCCACACAGTTCATTTGACGGGTTTGTGAAGCAGTCTTATATATCCACTGTTAATTAATACTAATATAACTTCAATTAATACCATTTAGTGAATCATTACGAATATTAGGACTTGTCAAGATTGTGTATCGGTTCCAGTTCCCATATATCATATCAGTAAAGCAATAGAAGATAGTATAAGAATACTGTCAGCCACAACGTAGGACCAGGCATATATATGCATCAGTCCAAGTCGTCACACATCATTAACACAACAAGATGAACACCGAATTCATAGAAGTAGTTACTTCACTGGTAGTAATGTATAAAAGAGAGATTATGTATAAGGATATAGTGCAGGAAGAAAGAATTAGTTGGTAGACAGAAAGGTATAAAGTAATTTTAACTTCACGGTTTAAGTGAAGACAAAACGTGCATACACCTACGCGATTGTGATCGATTCTGAACCATGTCACCCAGAGTCTCCAACGATTGGTTAAGCTAGTCACTTAGTCTGCATTTACCAACATGTCTCACACTAGAGGTTAGTGACTTCAATGACTGATGCCACATTTTGGTCTGGCCACCCCTAACTTTCTTCCAACCGTCTCCGACATCGTCAGCATTGCGCGTCGTGGTAATCGGTGTTCGGGCATACGCAACATGTGGCCCAACCATCTCAGTCGATGAAGATTCATAACTTTGTCAACTGACTTACCATCATTCCGTAATACCCTGCGTCTAACTTCACTATTACTTACCTGGTGGTCGCAGCAGATGTGAGCAATATTTCTAAGGCATCTGTGGTCGAATGTTGGCAGCTTACGAGTATCTTCTACTCTCAATGGCCATGTTTCGCTGACGTAAATTAAAACAAACGAACAGCCGAGCAGTATACTCGTCCTTTTATTGATAGACGGATATCTCGCCTTCGCCATAGGTGAAGTAAGTTGGCAAAAGCCAAACGAGCTTTTCGAATCCGTGCTGAGATTTCGTCAGACACCAACCCATTAGGTCTGATCAGACTTCCAAGATAAGTGAAGTTGTCCACTCGTTCGACTACTTTACTCCCTATCCTTAGTTCAGATGTTGACGCAGTTCAGTCCTGAAACAACAGTTTGTATCCAGAGGGAGAGAAGCGCATTCCAAACATTCTGGCATTGTTGCTTAGTGCTGCCAGAAGACTCTGCATTTTATCAGCATCTTCACCAAACAAAATTGTCATCTGCGTATTCTAATTCGATAAGTGAACCTCCTGGTAGACCAACTGTGTTCCGATTTTGGGACTTGTCGAGTGAAGTAGTGTCCAAGAATCCAAAATAGCTGGGTCGTAATATGAGAAACTATAACATACGTCTATGATGAAATTGAACAGAAACGGAGATAGTGAACAGCTTGAGTTTGCAAAATCAGATGACAGTTCGCCATAAACTCTTACTCGACTGCTAGTGTCCGAGTAAAAAGTCTTTACAAAGTTTATGTACTTCTGACGTACACCTTTCAATGACAGAAACTACCTTGGTCAAATGATACTTTTAAGTTAAGAAAAACTATCATTGTCGGACGCCAATAAGCATCCCTGTATTGTAAAACCTGACGAATGGTGAATATGTGGTCGATGCAGCCATGACCAGGTCCAAAGCCAGTCTGATTTTTTCGTGTTTGCAGTTCATAAGTCTTTGTTACGCGTCCGGTAATTATTGACAATAATACCGACTGGTGGGAATATACGAGTATGAAATATTATTTTGTTTAGAAAAATAACAACCGGATATAAGTAAACCATTTTATCCGAGTTCGTTTAAGGTCTTTAGCCAATCCCAATTAGAAATTCTACACAGATTAATCAACAATCTAAAATTTGATGCAGTCTACAGATTGTTAGCCAGCAATGAACAATGATATAGATCGTAGCTGAGCATAGTTCTCACTCAATTAGTTAAAGTTCACAACATCAACTGATTCCATTCATTTAGATCACACATACCCTCAATGTTGTTTGCTTGTTAGTTGGGTTAATATAAATAATAAATATTTCGAAGGCACCTATTAATCGAACATTTGACAACCTTTCTGTATTCGCGTTGAGACATTAATAATTACTGAAGGATGGTGGTCAGAGTTCAGGTTAGACTCCGGTATACAACAGTAACAAGATCATTTTCTATTTGCGTAGAGAGTAAATATAGAATCACAAACATTCGTAAATCATGTTTGGAAAACTACATTTTGCTACAGTCAATATCAAATAAGGATTACGCCACCTTGATGACCAAAAAATCTAGATGATGAACATACCATTAAAGCACATTCATATTTAAGTCGAACAAAAAGTAGCATTTTCAGACCAGTCATGATGAAGGCAAGCTAGAAGAAAAAATCACTGTAACCTCTGACAGAGTTACTGGTCTTCGACTAAAGAGCAGTCATCTTAGTAGTGTATTTATTTGGTACATGTTTGTTAAAAAAACTGTAGATCAGTGTGATACAATTTCAAAAACTGTCGTTACATTCGAACTGCAGTGAGTTCATCTATGTGTGAGAACATGAAGGATGAATTTCAGTTTCAACAACCTTGATTAGATTGAATGCATAATGCAGCTAATAGTCACAATTGCACTACTCAATATGATTTACTCCTTATTTCAATATTTGATTTCATATTAATATATGCTAATCTAAAGTTTTCTACATTTTGTAGTGCTGCAAATAATCATTTATAAATCATCTCAAATATACTGATTTTCAGAGAATGAAATAAAAGTGCCCCCGACAGATGAAACAATATTCCTTCTATTGTTATCTTAAAGAATAAATGCTACCAAGCAAGAATGAATATATATATGTATATGTATAAAGGGAAATCAAATTAAATAAAAATTACATCGTATGTCTGTAAGAGATGAGGGGGATGGGGATAAGGTCAAGACTTTCCTGGCAGGAAGTAATGCTAATTGGTAATTAAATCAGTTGAAATAAAAAGGAACGATAAATACTACAAATAGGAATTTTTAGAGCTAATCACTGTATACAGTGGTGATAGTAGTAGTATTTATCGTCCTTGTGTACAGTGATTAATTTTTGAATCTTGCGGAATCTGCGCTTAAACACTACTATAGTAAATCATCGAGCCAATGTAGTAATAAGTTCAGTACACATTTCAAAAAATTCCATTGTTTGGTGTCGTTTAGTTCTTCGGTTAATCGGTACTTCCTGACAATTAGCTGAAAACGATCGAGAAAATTCAGTTGTATTTGGACCATCGTAGCAATTGGTTGGACTAGCAGATCCAGTGCTACCAGAAAAACTACCATCTCTACTACATGTTGAAGTACCCATAGCAGCTGGAGGAGCTAAAAACAAAAGTAGGTACAGAAATTATGCGACTATCAATCTAAAATGTTTCTAAAAAATACGACATAATTAGAAGATACTGCCTATATATATACATATATAGTTCTAAAGTTTCCCGCCTATAATCCGGTTGTGAACAACTCATTACTTTATTTATTTTGTTTCTACCAGTTCCACTTTACTTCAGTTTCTCAAGAATGTTCCCCTTATTACTAATCTCACTGTTTTCTTATCTTCTCGATGTGTTGATGCAAAGCACAGCGACTTGTGCGAACTAACATTCGTCTTAGAATCTACATGTATATTTTTTAATCCGTAATAACATTAAAATGTCTTTAGTATTATTGTGACTATTATTACTTAATACCACCGATAAATAAAAACATTAAAAGAAATATGGTCGAAACTTACTTCCACTACAAGCATCAAGGCATACTGACATATTGTTTGAACGTAGTCTACCCATCGCTGTTTCAGATTCTAATTGACTTTCATCGATACACTTAAAATCGAGGAGATATGATCTTGCATCGACCTGTGGACGTAAAATGTCACCATTAAAACTCATTAGAGTAAATAATTTGAAATAAAAAACGAGTATGGATACTAATAAATTTATTTGTACTAGAATCTTCCATTTCAAATACGATGTGTGACGTTTAGTACATGGAGTTGAAATTCCATCTCTAGAATCGAGACGTATATTGGATTTAATTATCTACATTCTAAACGACTGTTATATTCCTATGTCCAATAAGCCAAAACATATGGTATGTTTAATAAAAAGTTACCTATTTATATCAGTAGAAATCACCACTTCTACACCAAACTACAATACTGTTCGTCATAAAAAGTAGGGTGGAAGAAAGCCAAATGTAGTATTGGTTCAAAGTATTAGATTAAGGAAGCGACTAATATCGGTATGTAAGTTTGGCCTTATTTATTAGATCTAACGATGAAATCATAATTTATAGTTGTAAGTCATATACGAGATAGTTTGAAATCAATGGTAGAGGTACAGTAACATTCTTTTTTTATCTTTTGAGTGATGATAATCCAAAATCTTTAAATATCGACTTCAGTAGCCTGGGTATGTTTTCATATTGTGCATTACTTCCTGATTCTATGACTAAGTGGATGAAGTTGAGACGTGATCAGCTTGTAACACGGTCCCGTGGTATGAAAGATAGTTGTATAAGACTGGTATTTGTGGATTCCATGATTCCCTTTATTGAAGTACTAGAGATCATGAAGTTCAGTAGCTTGAGGAATTGTCAGAATGGAAGTCAGTAGCGACCATGACATAGTTTTCTATTAAATTCTTTGTAAAAGTTAGATCCACATCCTTGATTGAATGAAAAGCACACTTTTGATGTTCTGTTACACTAAGTGTTTTGTAAGATAAAAGAAAAATCGAATTTATTTAGACCCTGAGCATACATCCGTTAATTTAGGTTCCTTGAACCACTTCAAGCCTTTTTAGAAGCAATAAGCATTTTTTTCTCGATATTACATAGAAAATACACGCTATATTTTCGTACATGCTTTTTAGCGTGGCAGTAAGCCCGACTAAACAAGCACTTGGCATCACTGTTGACAAAGTGCCTGGTTGGTTCAGATTACCTTGTCAGTATCCATGAGATAATTATGACTAATAGTCGGAGAACATTGGTAATATGATTCGAAATTAGTTGCAATGAAGCAAATACATTTATTCATCATCCTCACCTAGACCATGAATTTCAATATTAGGATATTTTACTCCCATATATTCTCTATACCTGATATATATTTTAAACTATTATTAATATTATCAAAATGGGGATTTGTGGTATTTTTAACTGCTGAATTCATGAGTCCAATCCGTATCGGGTAGAGACAGGTATCTATCTCAGACAATCGATGAAGAGTTGGGCAATATCATGGATCGATTGAAGTTAGACATTAACACCGAAGGATGCCGGCTCAATGGTCTAGAGGTTAAGAGTTCGTGCACGAGACCAAAGGTCCTGGATTCGAGTCCTGCATGCGGGATCATAAATGCGCACCGCTAAGAGGTTCCATACTAGGACGGAACGGCCGTCCAGTGCTTTCGGGTTTTCACTGGTGGTCTAGCTTAAAATTGACTCATGAATTCAACTATTAATATTATTGATACTACGAATTTTTTTGCCTATTTATCTTATAGTGCTAATATCCTGTGGTCAACTTGAGCCAATGTTGCACATTTGTGCTGAGTTCGTGATTAACTATTTATGTAAATTTTTAAAAAAAAGATTATAAACATTAATTATCATCTTGAATAAACAAATCATAACCAACAATAAATAAAAAGACTTTTATAGACAACTATTTTTTGAACAACAAGAATTATATACCATATGTATTGATAAGCATTAAAGAACTATGCATATTCATATAACAGTGTTAAAAAAACCATAACAACCAACTAACCTGATAAAGTTGTAATACAAGTCGAGAATAATGCTGTAGTATTGAATTCCATTTTCTTACACGTACATTAAACGGATTAACAACTTTCCATTCATAACCAAGTGAATTCATTGCTTTAAATACTTCATGCATAATATCCCATGGTCTTGATTGAGAACGTATACCTAAATGCCATTTAAAACGTTTCATTCCACTGGCCGCTGCAGCTCCCGATGTAATAGCTGATTGTGCTTGAGAAGAAATTTGACTTGGACAATTCAAATCACCTGTAACAATTGATCCAGGTGTCTATAATTAAACAAAATAGGAATTAAAATAATAAATTATTGTACATTAAAAATTGATTCGGAAGCTAGAAATCTGAACAATGTTTGATTTCAAATGAAACAAACAAGTTACAATTTGTAAACAACCGAAATAAAGAATATTTAAAATTTTAGAAACGATAGGCAGAAATATATGGCGTACCTAACAACGATAGTGAAGAAAGTTACAAAAGAAGGAAGTATGAGGCAACTATATGACAGAACGAAGAGGCAAGCAGAAAAATAAAGTAAACCAGAACTACCAGTCAAGAATAGAGAAGGCAAACTAATCACTGATATTCAAGAACACTGGGACAAGTGGGAAGACAACTTGGAAGAGCTTTTGAATAAACCAACCTCAACACAGGACACCGAAACAGCACCTACGGACCTTCCTATAGCTGTTACCTACCAACATTCGAGGAAATAAACAAGGCAGCAGGACCAGACAATATACCAGGTGAAGCACTAAAGCCAGACACAGAAGTAACTCCAAACACGCTCCACATTCTATGCACAAGGATGTGGAAGTAAGAACAAGTGTCGACAGACTGGAAAGAAGGAATGTATCTCACTACTATCGGTACCAGGAAAAGTTTTCAAGTTTGGTTGAGTAGGATGAAAGATTTAATAGACGCACAACGCCGAGGATCGGTCGCGTACAGACCAAATAGCAAAAAAAACAATAATCGTTGAACAATCAATTGAATAGAACTCGTCACGATACATCAATTTCCCTGACTATAAAAAAGCGTTTAAGAGCGTGGATAGGAAAGCCTTATGAAAGCTTGTTTGACACTGGTGCACTTGAGATCGTCAGCATCATACGGAGTGCACCAACCAAATCACATTAGATGGGGGGCTCTGGAAGAGGTGGAAACTTTCGCATACCTTGGCAATATCGTTGATTAACAAAGGGGACTTGATGCGACCGTTAAGATATGGATTGGCAAACGGTCGCGCTCCACAAATGAAAAACATCTTAAACTCAAAACAACTGCCAACCAATACCAAAGTCAGAATCTTTAATACGAACGTCAATATAGTTCTGTTGTATGGGACTGAAACTTGGAGAACAACCACAACCATCATCAAAAAAGCATTGGACAGCTATCCCGTTTTAGTCAGCTGAACGAAATTGGACCTCGAATCCTCAAATTTCGGGGCAAAAGATATTCTATTTAACCACCGAGTTAAGTACTGTTACAGATTGGTCATTTCATAAGACTTGAAGTTCTCTGTTTAGCTTTAACAACTATCAATTAACATACTACGGGAGAAAAACTAAGATAAGGATGGCTTTGAGTAATAGGACTTGGTATATTGAAGTCAGTTATTTGCTAAAAAATCGAAGACATTTTCATTTTTCATACCTGATTCCTTCACACATACATTTTCATTCTATTTTTGAACTGTATTCGTAATGTTCAGTCACTCGCACTGTTATTGCTACTACAATTGCTCCGACACTTTTGGTATTCATCCTGTTATGTTGATATGGTACAGCGGCTTGGATTAATGCATATTTTCGCCGAGCTGTACGTTGATTATGACTGACTAAAAATGAATGCTAAATTTCAAACGACACAGTATGTAAATGAGTGCGGAACACAACTTCAGATAATAGTAAGCTAATGATAGAGATATCATCAACGCAAAGTAAATTGAAACGATCTACTAAACATACTGCTTTATTGCTTATTCCTTCGATAAGGAAACAGGCATTAAAAATCCAGCTGGTAGTTAGATTATATCAGAAAAATGGGGGGGGGTGGACTATTTACTTTCAGTTTTAGAGACTGAATTGATGGTCACTTCAAATAGCCTTCAGTCACATTTAAATCACCCACCATCTCCAATTAGCCTGAATGGTAAGTTGAAATACGTCCTTCAACTCTTAGTGAGGTTGAAAAGGCGATTTAAGAGCAAAGGAGAGTAGCAGGTTCAGATGGATCAAATCCGATAGTCTTTAAGGAGTAGTCTATTTTAGCTTTTATATTGACCGAAATCTTGACTATAATCTGGGAATCGGACATAATACCATCTGACTGGTCTTAATCGCGAAAAAAGACAAGTTTATACGAAAGGAAAAAAACTCTATTGTGACATTCACAGAGGAATTAGTTTGACAAATATAATATTTAAACTACTAGCATCAATAATACTCCGACGCTTGGATACGGCTCGTAAGGAGCAAACTAGGGAAAACCAGGATGGCTTCAGACTTAGACATGGATGCTGTTTGGCAGGTTCTAAATCACACGCATGCTGTCCGACGTCCAATTATGGTTGCATTCATTGACCTTAAAGTATCATTAAATCTGTTGATCGTGAGGTTCTGCGACACTGTCTGTCATTTAAAGATGTACCAAAAAGTGTATTAACCTTGTACAGGCTCTCGACCTCAACACTATTGATCGAATCAATGATGAACTGCCATAGGAATCGATAAGTTGTGTATGTCAGGGTTGTCCGCCTTCCCTATTTTTACTTAACTTAGCCATAGGTATCTTTTAGAGATAACGCGCTTACGATCTGACTTTATTGAGTATCAAACCACTGCTCACTGAACTTACACATCATTGAAAAAAAAGTATGCATAATCTTGCTTTACGATAAATGCACTAGATACAACTTCTAAAAATCCATTACATATAAGGATTGAGTAACGCCTGTATAACTAAAAACAAACATCTTAAGTGAATATTCAAATTGGCTAATAAAAGTTATTTAGTTGCAAAAATAACGTCAACCCTAAAACTATCAGTAAAACTATAATTTGTGGATGACCTTTAAGTGATAAAGTGGGGTGGAGAAATTTACAAGGATCAAAATACGGTTGTAAATTAATATTAGAAGATAGAGTTAGAGGTTGGAGTTAGTGAGGTAGAATTAATGTATTCATCACACTAACATCAGCTATAATCCTGAAATGCTAATTAGCTATATGAATGATTGAGCTTCGTACAAAAAACAACTGCTATCTTAAATATGATTGGTTCATCCACAAGTTATAGTCCTACTTTATTGAACATTCAGTCTGATAAATAATGTAGAAAAAACACACTGAATAAGAATTTATTACCAACGAATCCCCCATTGGATCTAATGTTCTCGATAACGGTGGTCCATCAGGCATTCTTTCTGGATGAGGTCGTGTTGGAGAAATACCTCTACCTTTTAATCCAATCATGCCAGTATTGTTACCATAATTTGGACTTAATGATTGACTTCGACCACCACCAGGCTGAGAATGAGTCAATGTACCACCACTGGGTGGACTATTCGATGTATTTGTTGTTGTTGCTGCTACTGATGAGGTTGATGAATCAATCCCAGTGGCAACATAAAAGTTATTCACTTCTTCTGGATTTAAAACTGATCCGAAACGTCTTTGAAATTATAAAAAAGTAGATGAAAAGATTAGCACGGAAATATGGAACAAAATATATTTTGCTATTGGTTTCATATTCATTTTGTCTACTAAACTTAATAGACTAATTACGGCAATATATGTATAGAAAGACCCAGTTAGCCGGCTATATTTGTGAACTTATTTAATCAGGTAATAATTTGTGTACTTACATTTGAGCCACACTTAGTTGTGAGGGTTGTTTATCAATATCTACTTGCCCAAACCCAAATAGATAGAGCGGGATCGGAACATGTGACTTAGTGGCTGACAATTGAGAGCAATAACCAATGGGCTACCGCTTCACTGGGATAGGAACAATGAGAATAGTTCAATTTGTCCTATACCTACTTCAGTAGATGATTCACCTAACTAATGCGCTGAAAAGTACATCTTCAAGATCCTGTCAAGTGTTTATATAGATCTGTAAGTGAATACCACAAAGTATACAGTTGACTAGTCAGAAGTAAATAATTTAAAAAACAAAGCTTCTTCAATGTATTGAATCACAAAAAGAAGTTAAGAACGATCAAACTGTGACTTTTCTTAATTTCCGAATACAACCCATATCATTGTGCGTATATTGTGGTGTTTATGATATTAAAATTCTGATTTTTTTAAAGTCATAACTGGACATGCTAATATCCAGCTGTTTATAAACAATAGCAAGATACATTAATTATTTTGCGGTAAAGATATCATTTGATTGACTGGTGCTAACTTATGACTATAAATCCATGAAATCCTTAATTCAAACTACGAACATCAGTTTCATACAAGCTAAATTTACACATTAACTAAGCTTTGATTATGTATGTGTGTAATATCCTAACTAAATAGAGTATTTACTGCTATTTAACAATATACTTCTCCCTAGTTGAAAACTTAAACTTAACCTCAACATTATCCGCTTGCTGATTTCAGCATTAATAGGAGTTATTCTGAGAGAAACGGTAGTCAGACATCACTTAACTGAGACATTACTCGACTAGATGATTCACTATACAGGTCGTATTTCAGTTCACAACAAGCGAGACGCTTAGACCTGTGAACACAGGACAAATATGTTAGCCACTGCTACTGACAATAATTACGTTCAAAATCCTCAAGCTTTGTGAGGTGTAGTTCACACAATGTGACTAAAAGTGCAATTTAATTAGGGTAAATTCAAGTGTCCCCAAACATGCTTCAAAATATTTTTTGGTGGTAAGGAAGGTCTGTTCAGTAGTTTAGGTTTTTCAGAAGTAAACACTATGTTAACAAGCTTTCATATGTTTTCTGAGTTCAGTGGTGTCAAGAAAGAGTACTTGGTATATATACTCGTTTATCTGATGGGCAGAAAATTTTTCCGAAGTCGAATAATTCACTAAAAACACAATATGATATTTAAAAACCCCAAATTGCATCTACAACTGGAAAGTAATGATAAGTGGAACTTACTTATTGTCTATGATAAGATGATAAGCAACTGATAATTGATCACTAGGATCATTGTTTAGTAAGGCAGCGAAAACTTCACGTTCTGTTGCATTGCACGCTTGACAAACTTCATAAACTGCTTCCTAAGTGAATCAAAGAAAATTATGAAAACATTGATTTTAATAATTCCTGATGAAAAGTATATAAATGATTAAAGCGACCATTGATCACAGAACAAAGCTTCGGAATCATTTAATAGTTGGATTTAACGTACTAAAAATAAGTCATATAAAGTTTACTGCCGTTCTTCGGTTTGAAAAACTAGTTTGATAAACTAATGTACTGATTGGTCATGTGGTTAGTCGAATCCTACATATTGAGTTTGTAATATGATCAGAAAGCTAAGTGTCTTTTAGTACTAATGTATTTCATTTGATGCTTCGAAAGCTGTGACGAAGTTTCCGAGTGTAGGATAGGACTACACCATCTCAAACCCTTGAGAGGAGATTTATTCCCTCAATCTTTCAGGAATATCACGCTGAGTCCCAGGCATAACGACTGTCTTCAAATACTTAACTATGATAGTCAACCGGTTAAATAGAGCTACTGACTCTTTCTACCCATGTCACTATATTTTTGCTTGTCGCTGACCTGGTTTAACAACATCATTAGAACAGTGAGAAACTTGTGTTTCTAAAGCGAAATGTTAACTGACAGCAATACGGTTAATAGTAACAAGTTGTCAGGTACTTGAGTATGAGCCACAGTTTAAGTGTGGGGTTTAGTAATACAAGCCGGTTTTCCGAACTGAAGTGGCTAGGTAGGGGTTTAAAGTAGTCTTAGTAGACGAAATTGTACACCTTAAACATTAACCCGCCGCTCCCAGATGAATTCGAACCCACGTCATCATCTTCACAATCTGACATGTTATCGCAGAGCTATTCAGACCGCGGCTGGCCTTCTGTACGTCTGGTATGCATTTAAAATTGATCACTGAATAGTAGACAATTTCAAGTTTATCTAAATCCCTTATAATGTTGGTCGGACTTTATCCGTCAATTAGTAGTGTGACCACTAGTTCAAGCGACTTGACATTCTTTTATTGTCCTCCTATAGAAACTGAAGACAAACGAGTGGAAAGACAGTACTTTAAATATGAAGTCATATCCCGTATATTATTTAACTAATAAGTCGGTCACATGATGTCTGTCACAGCACTTTAGCAGTCGTATGTTAATAGCCTTTCTAGGTAGGCTCTGAGTAACGATGGCTTCAGAAGAAACGGTTGCTAGAATTTAATAACAAATGTCACGAAACTAATACGATGTTTACAGTTGAGAGGGACAAGACCATAAAACATAGAGTAAACCTCAAGTCTTGGTTTCAGGCAAGAAACATTAAAATATTTCAATGAGAAATAATTATAAACACTCATACAAAACAGTAACCATAACTATTAATAGATTGATTCATATTAATCTTAAAAATTACAATATAAAACAAAATAACCAACTCTGATGTGCTTTCATTTCAATACATAATACAAAAAATTGCAGAAGACATGATTTATAAAAGCATTACCTTGTCAATTATTGACGCATCTTCATCGCGTTCTTGAGGGAAAAGATGACTAGGAAGATCAACTGAGAACCACGGATGTCGTCTGATTTCTTCTATGGTTGCACGCTTGATCGGGTCCACAGTTATCATCCTTCGAAGAAGATCCCTGACCTAAACAAAAAAATTATATATATATATATATATATATATATATATATATATATATATATATATATATATATATATATACTATTAGTTCACTATGAAATGCACAACTACTTCACTAATGACATATAGTTGCAGACTTTGGATACTCAATAGTTGATCTAAACTACAAGAGTTGTGCTTGTGGTGTACAACCTACAGCTAAAATATTTGTTAGCAAAAACTAAGACGAAATGAACTAGTGTGGATGAATTCTGTCAAACTATTCTAAATAACCAAGCTCTTTTATCACTATCACATGAATATTTTTAAGAAATCACCTATGATGCTTTAATTCCTGTTGTTTTATTCATAATCATAAAGGACAACCCCCAAATGCCTTGTTACGACCGAGGGTGGGGAGAGTTAGCTCTCCTTCACAAAATGCTCTCAACATGGCCACGCATATGCAGCCACTCTGTCAGAGAAATCCTACTCACTGCCTTCTCGCGGTAGGGGTGCCGTTTACAAAATTGAGAGGACGAAAACTTAACTGGGTTGGTGGATATGGACGGTCCGCCTAGAGGAGTTAGAAAGCCCTGATTCCAAATCAATGGTGCACATATGCTCCAGGATACTGATGGAGCAAATTGGGTATGATTCAATTGTTGGTCATCGACTACCATGAGACTGCATCTCCTGACGTTGCTCCACTGCCTTGTGGATTAGATTTTTAGGTCGAAGGCTCCAGATGTGGCCCCCAAAGAAAACCACCCGGTCAGTATCACAGCCCACACACAAATCAAGTGACTTGTGTTGTGCATATGTATTCGATGCCCCTTTGTACCAATATTTGTAATCAAATAAATAAATAAAAAGGGGAGGTGATTATATGAGGTATCTTGCTAACGCTAAGAAAGATATCATAATTTGTCAGGTGGCTGGAAGTGGCAGTAATAGAGTTAAAACAGTGCGTGCAACTTCTAGTCACTGACAAATCCCTTCACCACAGCGTCAACCAACAGAATTTGATCGGCATCAAGGACCAGATAAACATAACATTAGTTAATACACAGTGATCAATTAGAGTAGATGATGTCAGGTAAGTCTAGTAAGCCTGATACCACTTATAGAACGAGTAATATGGTTAACACTAGTTTGACAGGGGAGCAATCAGGAATACGATTTTCCTAACGTTCCTTTCGAAGACACGGGACGCAATAGATCTCAGATAGAGTTAACATGATCCAAACCTACCAGGCAAGACAGAAAGCAAAAGAATCTTTAAGTGAAGAATAAGGATGATAGTTTCCCAATGAAAAAAACATAAACTTACACCTGAACTCAAAGTTTCTGGCAAATGGAAATAGCCTGCTTTGATTTTTTTAAAAAGTGTAGGTATATGTTCATCATCAAAAGGAAGTGTGCCACATAGCAATGCATACAAAATTACTCCACAGGACCATACATCTACTTCCGGACCAGCATATAACTTCCCAGATATTACTTCAGGGGCAGCATAGTTTGGGGATCCACAAGAAGTACGTAGAAACTCACCATCTTGCATTATATTGGACAATCCTGGAAAAAGGCGAATTTTTTATACATTATTCTGTTAGAACAGTACTGAACTTTGAAATTACTGAAGTTCTCTATACCGCCAAAACAAAGTTCCAAAATACGGACAATTGCTATATGACATTACTGTACAAACTTTAGTTAAATAGTATGTCAACCAACAGCACCAAAACATTATTCCAGCTTCTTAAAAAAGTATTACTTAAACACATAGGTGTTGTTGCGAATGGAAACCAAAGCAAACATGTACCATACAACCAGGTCCTATAATACAGCAATATTTACCATAAAAATAATCATCCACAAGCTATATATAACCTGAAAGTACTGAGACATTTGACCTAAACCGTGTACACGATTAAAATCAACCAAGGTTCAATCCACACACCAGATTTAAGATGGAGAGAAACGCAAACGAAGAACATAACTGTTGGTAACGAATACACCAGACTTGATGTCAATATCAGGTAATACCACAATAAGCGACGTTCATAAGACAATTAGCTTAAAAAAGAAAGACAAACACCACTACATTTTACGCTAAAAAAACCCACTAAACTAGTAAATATCACAATACAGAACTATGACTGCAGCATTACAGGTAGAGTTAATCACAATCAAGCAAGAAATCGACGTTTAAAAGATAGGATTTTGAGCACCGTTCATTAACGCAAACCTGAGAGATTACCAGAATAAAAACTCTAAGATCGGTAACTGAAAGCATGACGCTTAAATCACCAAATCAGGAATTAAAAAGTATAGCTGTCCCAATATCATGGTACAAACAAATTCCCGGTATATAACCAGTAGAATGTTAATGTCACCAAGTAGCCTGACTTGTTCGGCATAAGGTGTTTCACTACCGGCAAATAAGCCCAGCAAAAAACAATGACACTCGTCGGGTTATTAACATTACTTATGCTGTATGGAAAATGAATTACAGTCCACTAACCGAAGTCGGCAATCTTTACGTTCTGGTTTGAGTCCAGCAACAAATTTTCTGGCTTTAAATCTCTATGTACAACCTTATGACGATGACAGTAGGCGACTCCGGAAATTATTTGCTGAAAAAACTTTCTAGCGTCTTTCTCAGAGAGTCTTCCAGACTTCACTATGTAATCGAATAATTCTCCTCCACTGACATACTCCATTATCATAAATATGTCAGTTGGAGTACTAATGACTTGATACAACTTGATGATGTGGGGATGTCGGAAAAGCCAAAGATTGAGGATTTCGCGACGTAGTTTGCCGGCGACATCGAGAGCTTTGATTTTATCCCTGTTCACTATCTTTACAGCAACTTGCACACCGGTAGATTTATGAATTCCAACTTTGACTTTTCCGAAAGTTCCGACACCAAGTGTTTCTCCGATTATGTAGTTCCCAATACGAACCTCTGGGCTACATTTTGGGGTACCGCGTCTTCCATCCGCCATAGTTTGAAAATTGCTCCAACTATTAAGCTTTCTAGTTCCAATGTCTAACACGCGATGAGTAAACGAAAACTGATTTATTTCATTGCTCATAAAACGCTTAGCATTCAAGTGGCGTTGCAGTAATAAAGTCTTATAAAACCTCAGTGTGTTACGAGCGATGTTGGATATCTTGCCTAATGAATGACAGTATTTCACCTGAAAAAAACCTGACTTGCTAAAATAAACTAGGTCTTCTAATACATAGACAGTCATCATAAAGTTTTAAAAAAATTTCCTCTTACAGATATCTAAATCGTTGAAATTGTAACTGATGCTGATATTCGTTGTACGAGCGAATTAATTTGCATTAGTGTTTGAACAAACGTATGTGCGTGTCATCGTTCATTTATAAGTACTGGTTTCGTGGCTAAGCATAGTTAATTATAGCGTATCGCATTCTCAATTTGCAAGGCAGATGCTCCAGTCACGGTAGATATATGTTTCCAATTTTATAGAGCTTTTCAACGGGTTATTGTCTTCAGAAATCATGTCATGTCGGCCTAATTATTCATACACCACACGATCTCATCTCAGAGAGCCGAGAAGCTAATTATTCATGCCGCCAGAGAAAACCATAATTATATACTACATTACATTCGAACGGGACATTTGATGCTCATGTAATGAAAATAGTTAACACTTATTGTTTTAGTGTATCTTTTTCACTTTTGCAGTAGTCTGGATGACTCTCCTGGTCTCCCACATTGTGCGAGCATTCCATGTACCCTAATTAGTGTTTGCTCTAGTTGCAAAAAGAAGCATCAGCCTCCGGACTTCCGAAGAAACTCTGATTTAACCATGAGGCGTCATAACTCTTCTAAATGAAGAACTTTAGTGGCATTGGACCATAACCACACAGTCCTCAGAGCTGAACACGAGACAACTCGGAAAATAGATATTCAGTATTTAACGCAGAGAAATACCTAACGATGAAGTGGGCGGGAAGAATGTGTTGAATGAATTGGATTTGATATCTTTTATTCATATTAAATATATTGTTCTTTCTCTAGCCTAACCTTGTTCCACATCATGTATTGGTAATTGATACGATACAGTGAGTTGGTGTAGTCGATGGTGTGACTTTCACGTGAGATCTTATAGATCAGGCAGTTATATCATGACAAATCTACAATTTTAGGATTAGGTCTATTATTAGAGCGGTAGTAATATCATAGTAGACCATAATTCTACAGAACTTCTAACTCTCAGGGCAGGGTCTAAACGGTTTGAATTAAGTTATAATGTATGGAACAAAATGTTTTTCTTTTCTCAGTGTGCAACGATGGCGCGGTAATAAAACCGAACAGGATGAACGGGCTTATAATACCTCCGTATCGAACAATCGGACGATCCGCTTTGTACTGACTAAATCACGTTACATCAAAAACCCGAATCACAAGCAGCATTAGATAACCAGAATAAATATACAATACTTTATTCCACACAATTACAAGCGTTCATTCTCAGTGAGTCTGATCTAGCATACAATCAGTCATCAGTTGGAAGTTGAGTGCCTGATTGTCCACACTTAGTGACTAGTCACACTTTCACTGACAAACATTGCTTATGTGGAAGCATAGTAATTCAGAAAGCTCAGACAAATTGCCAGTGTAACAATCTCAGTAATGAATTATATGCTGATGTTCAGCTTCAATTTAATGTTTATGTAAACCTTCGAAAACCCATTGTTATACCTTTTTCTCATTACCAGCTTTCGATAGGATAAAAATAGTATTCCTAAATTCTATTTCTTCTAGGTTTGACTCTATATGATTCATTCATACCAGTCGGTATTGACATCAGGTAAGCTTTGTGTTGCTGATCGTTGTAGGCTTCGTGAATGTGAATTTCTGTGTGATAAAAATAACGATCGTACTTTCAAAACCAGTCTTTCGTTATGTCTACATAAAGCACGTTTTCATATTCTTTCCATGGTAGTAGATTCAGTGTTCTTTCGATTTGCGGCTTATTGATCGATAAGTGTGTTGTAGGACGAATGAAATGTCGCTGAGCCCTAGCCAATTCATCCGACAGTTGGGCCACTGAATATCGGATAGATTATCGATCCCTGTCAAAGTCAAAGACCATTAGCGCGCATCAATTAATCGCATGTCATGGACTGGCCAGTGCGGTGGTGATCTCACTAACTCGAGTAGGTCAACAATCATTCAACATAGATCATCAACGTTGATGATCTACAGTAGAACCAGAAAGAAAATACTTATTGGTAGTATATTCCACTATTCTATAAAATATACCTACTTGATCTACTTTCAAGTCACCTTCATTAAAACATCGTAATTAAAGATAGACAGTCATACATCTTTTTATTACACAGATAGTTATGGACCGAATACCAAGCCAAAATCTCCAACTTCCTTTTATTTGTGTAGTATTCGGGTAACTGGTTTTCATCATATATGCCTTGTTCTGTGCAAACGTACACAAACTACTCTTTCAATCTCTGCCTAGTACCTTTTAGCTTACCTTGTATCCAAAGGAGCAGGTAAGAACAACTCATTTACAACGTTCGCCTGGCGTTTCTGTGCTCGACATTGACTCACACAGTGTAAGTTAACTATAAACATTAGAAAATAACAAAGAAGCTGCATGTCTCCTCCAATCCACGGTACTATGGCGAATCTCAAATTTTCAGGATACATTCGATTACAACTTCACTGCTAGCAGATTTGGATGCCGATCAACGTAATAGATTTGCAAATACAAAACCTTGAGCTGTTGAACAACAGATGGATACGAATGATGTACGTATTCTCTATATTATTACTTCATGGTACTACAGCCAATTAAAAGGACTCTTAGCAGAACTAACGTTCGGCTCATCAAAAAGATCGCGAAGTGTGGTTAGGCCTACTGTATTTGAGATAAAGTTTAACTCCATATCAGTAGTCCCCAGTGTGTGACTGATAACCCTTCGCTGAAAGCAGAGAATAAGATCACCTCCTAACAGCTCGCTAATGTAACGTTTATTATGCGTGATAACATGCCGTACGATTCGCAACGACCTCGCATGCGTAGAGGACGGTTTTGAAAGCCTTCATTGAGATCATCCTAAATTTGGACTTGCGTTGTCAACAGACCTAATGGTTCACCTTAACATGTCAAGATACTCGGTGACATTAATTAAATGGAGTACCTAGTTCATGAAGAGGGCCTCACAGCTTCAATGGGCAAAGACATCTTAATAGTGACAAAAGTATTCATAAAACTTTCATCAATATAGAAAACAAAAGTATTATAGTCCTATCATGGGTAATAAACAAAGTGAATAAGACCCACTAACACTTCGAGGTTCTAGGTCTTACTCACCATAACCCTAGCCACGGTCATTGAGACTTGGTTTAAGTACCAACTGATAATAAAACCTTGAACTATGAGGGCCCCGACTGCGGACCGCGGGGTGGCTACTCTAATTTCTACCGACTGACCAACTTCAGATATCTCAGTACGACCCCAATACTGTTCCCCAATCTCCAATATATCAGAACACGAACCGTAGATGAAATTGTTTATGGGGTCAGGAGAAGAATAATAGGACTAATACTTTATAGACAAATGCGTATTTATACAGTTAGGACTACCATAAATACTGACCAATAGGAAAATGACACCTTTTCACGTTCAAGGATAGCATTAGAGTTAACAGGATAATTTTGAGATATTTTACTGAATATCTCAACAGCACCTTGATCAAGCTGTTAAGCACACCACGACAGCTACAGACGATCCACAAACAGTCCATCTGAAGAAACTCTAAAAGTGATAAATCTCAAAAATGAAAAAAAGCCTATGCCTACCACCATCACTGAATTGCTGGAATACAAGTAATCCAAAAGAACATTTGTTACCAGTTTAACTATACAGGAAGTAGTATAAAAGGTTTGTCGACCTGACTGAATACTAAACACCTACATAGAAAGCATTATAGTTCATCAGTGCTTTTACTGACGTGTTAGATTTGGTAACGCTGCGTTTCCTGCGAACAAATGTTAATTAAGGCCAAAAACCGAGACTGAACTAGTAGTATTATTGCCATTTGTTTAGTAAGCTACAAATAGCAAGTGAACCTTTAGATGTTTATGTAATAAGTATGTGGATCACCTGGATTATAAGGAGTGAAAATCAATGACGACACCTTAATTTGAAGTTCTCATATGATTATCAAATTAGTAGAAACATAATAGTTTCCATATATTATTATTCATACGGATATAAATTTATAATATGGTAGAACACTGTACTGAAATCTCCAGTCACAACCACCAAAGTGATTAGTAGTTCCTTTCTAAGTTACGCCGTCGGATTTCGTACCGCATAAATCTGACTCGGAGCGTAATACGACAATGCTTTACTAAGAGTATTTCTTCAACTAAATAACCCACAAGGGAACCGACGATTGAATAACAACATCTTCAACTGTCTATAATCCATAAAAACAATAAAAATGTACAATGAGTCAAATCTAAAGATGAGTTTCACAAAATACAACATAAAAATACTGTAATGTTATTCAGCGGGTAATAATAAACTGTTTGATTTTCATAACATATGGCGACAAACGTCAGTAAAAATGACTTATTAAAATCAAAAGAAATATACATGATTTGTCAAAATTTAATCGGTGAAGTCACATAGAAGTATTTAAATGCATAGAAAAAGAGGAATATCCAAAAGTCTCGTAGAAACTGAGGCACATACTAGCCACTTTTATCACTAGATTCACACTGAATAAATAAATTTTTCCGCAATGAACACAGCTCTTTGACCCACTTTTGACCCAAACTTGTGCTAAATGTTCCTTTAAAAATTAATCACATTTGAGGGAAAAAGAAATCAGAATAGTGAAAATATTATTTACCTAGAGTACTTTCGAAAAATGACTCTAATTTTCCTGGTTCAAGTGTTTCATGTTCATATTCATAAGCCTGCAAGAGCATCTC